GGGTTTCAGTGACTTCGTTAGCTGTGGTTGCTGACGCGTAGCGTATATGGTTGAATCATCAGCATACATGGACACACATGCTTTGTTTAATGCCAGTGGCAGGTCATTGGTAAAAATAGAAAAGAGTAAAGGGCCTAGAGAGTAGAGCCTAGAGAAGGTTCTCATTGAAGCGTTCATGTTACAAGCAGGAACTATGATACTATACTGTCACCTAGTGTCTATGAGTAGTACTGTCAATGTGTCAGCCTCCCTCTCCTTGTAGCGACATGACGTCATCATGCATAGCAGACAGAGGGCACATCCTCTGCCCAGGCGCTGCTGACGCATGCCAGATCTTATAAGGCATGGATAGATATTTTTGACATATCAGCTAACCACATCATATGTTCTAGCAATAAGTCAGTCAATGACACAGTCGATGACGTTGTATGTAAGCATTGGTTGATTCATGCAACATCTGACCAGGGGAAAGCGACCTGAATTGTTTTGGTCGAATTCTGACCTGATCTAACTGAACATTCTGTAACCTTGTACCTTGCTGAACCAGCTGTGCAAGCAGTATGAAGCAGAGGCATGACAACCTGGTTAAGGATCAAGAGAAAATGGACACCTGCCTTCTTGGCTGCACCCTTCCTGTGCCCCTTTTTGTTTTGTTTCTCCCCCAACTGGAAGGTAGGCTATTTTAGGAAAGATAGCATGTCCCACAAAGATAGCATGAGTATAGCCTAGTGAGCAAAAGACAACACAAAAAAAAATACAATAAAAGAGAACTCTAAACAGCAGTAATCAAGTAATTTACCATTCGCAAAGAAAGAGGATATATCCAGATTACAACCTCTCACTTTCAGTTAACTGAAAATTGAACCTTTTTCAAAATATCGCCCTTTCTAAAACAAGCCATACAAAGCTGGTTGCAATTCCAGTTTCATCCTCCAGAAAAGACAGAACAGATATTACAACAAATAAAAATTGTTAAATTCAAATATTCTAATTTATTTTAATTTTTTACTTTCATTATAAAAACGTATTATCTTTGTTAATGATATTATGAATAGGAAAGGTGGAGTTATGTCAAATGCAAACATACAGTACAGTATATATCTGTAGCTCATTTGGTAGAGCATGGCGCTTGTAACGCCAGGGTAGTGGGTTCGATCCCCGGGACCACCCATACGTAAAAATGTATGCACACATGACTGTAAGTCGCTTTGGATAAAAGCGTCTGCTAAATGGCATATTATTATATTATTATGGAAATGTTTGCTCTATCCAAAATTAAAACCAACTGATTGCAGCATTACCAAAACAAAATGGAGGAGGCAAGTGGACGGGGGAGAAGGTAGGAAACTTGTTTTTCTGCCCTTTATTAAAGACCAAAATTGGCAACAACAAAAAAAAAAAAAAAAATGTATACATGTTTTACTTGAGGACCAAAATGTTGACCGAGTGTGATGAAAGGAGTCAGGCGCAGGAGGGTAATCACCGAATACAGCGTTTAATCCTTCGTTAACACACAAATGCGCTCAAATCCAATAAACATAGGCACAGGGGAAAATTCTACCCTGGCAACAGCAAGGTAAGGGTAGCTCAAACGCGCTACACACAGCTCACTTTCAAACAATCACCCACACAGACAACGAAGCAGAGGGAACACTTATACAATGAATAATGAGGGCTAAGGACCAGGTGTGTGTGATTGATAGGACAAGACAAATGGAGTGATGATAAATGGATCGACAATAGCTAGTAAGCCGGTGACGCCGAACGCCGAAACCTGCCTGAACAAGGAGGCAGCCTCGGCGGAAGTGCCATACAGGTTGCAAAATAGTGAGGAAGAGATATTTCGATGTGCCGATTCCATGGCACATGGTTTATGAACTGATACACAAAATAACGCCAGATTCAAAACTTAGTTTTTCAATTTAAATTATTATACAAAATTCTTGCCACAAACAGAATGTTATGTATATGGATCATACAACCATCTCAGCTCTGCAGATGTAGCTATGAAGAGACAGAATCATTAGATCACTTATTTTGTTATTGCCCCCATGTAGCTTGTTTCTGATCACAGGTTCAGGAGGGGCTGAAAAAATCGCATTTATCAAAAATTAACCCTACAAATAGCATTGTTGGGAGATTTGGAAAACCATAGTCAATCAATCATTGTAAAAATATGTATCTTTAACTTACAATCTGACAGATTAGACAGGTTCAGAATTTAAGTAAAACATCACTGCACAGTTGAAAAATATATGGCACATGGAAATCATAAGAGGGTGGTTTACAGAGATACTGTAGGTGGGATGGACAGAGTAGCTGAGGGGTGGGTTTAAAAGCTCATGACTGAAAACACAATGTATAATTTATAAGTACTATCTATCTAGATGTAATCTATATCAACATATCAAATAACTTTATTCTTGCTATCTAATTACTGTAAAAAAATAAATATATAATAATAAATACAAAAAGTGCCATGTATGTAAAATGTGTGTAGAATGTACATGTAAAACAGAAAGGAAAACGCTGCACACTGAACATGTAACAACTAAAGAAAAAGCTGTAAAAACAAAGTTTATTTTTGTCCTCCGAAGAGGATGGGCCCCAAAAAATAAATAAATAAAAGGTGCATTGTGACAGCTGTGGAGAGCAGGACCTGAACAAAGACCTGGTCATTGTCTATGACGTCCACAGGAACACGTCCATGGGAGTCAAAATGATATTTTGTCCATCACCTTGCTCCCAGTGACCTACCACGCATACCAAAAAATGTGGTCTTCATTGTCGATCGGAGTGGCTCCATGCATGGCAGGAAAATGGAGCAGACCTGTGAGGCCTTGTTGAAGATCCTGGTAGACCTGGCAGAGGACAACCACTTTGGCCTAATCACCTTCGACTACTTTGTATCTACCTGGAAGAAGGAGCTGCTGCCGGCCAACCAGGAAAACCTGGAGGCTGCCAAGAGCTTTGCACTACACATTCACGACAGAGGAGCCACCGACATTAATGCTGCAGTCTTGGAGGGCACAGCCATGTTACACCGACTCCCACGAGAGGGCTCAGCCTCCCTCCGCACACTGCTCACTGATGGAGACCCAACCACAGGTGAGACCAACCTGGAAAAGATCCACAAGAACGTAAAGGAAGCCATTGGTAAGAAATTCCCGCTCTTCTGTCTTGGCTTTGGAATGGATGTCAACTTTGAGTTCCTGGAGAAGATGGCACAGTGTGGGATGCAGAATATATGAGGAATCTGATGCTGCTCTGCAGCTGCAAGAAAGGGAACACACACTGTGTATTCACACTACAGTCTCTGCACTACAATGGATTTGAATTTTTTCTTACATACACTACATGACCAAAAGTATGTGGACGCCTGCTCGTCGAACATCTCATTCCAAAATCATGGGCATTAATATGGAGTTGGTCCCCCCCTTTGCTGATATAACAGCCTCCACTCTTCTGGGATGGCTTTCCACTTGATAATAATAATAATAATAATAATATGTTGGAACATTGCTGTGGGGACTTGCTTCCATTCAGCCACAAGAGCATTAGTGAGGTCTGGCACTGATGTTGGCTTTCCAATTCATCCCAAAGGTGTTAGATGGGGTTGAGGTCAGGGCTCTGTACAGGCCAGTCAAGTTCTTCCACACCGATCTCGACAAACAATTTCTGTATGGACCTCGTTTGCACAGGGGCATTGTCATGCTGAAACAGGAAAGGGCCTTCCCCAAACTGTTGCCACAAACATGGAAGCACAGAATCGTCTAAAATGTCATTGCATGCTGTAGCGTTAAGATATCCCTTCATTGTAGCTAAGGGGCCTAGCCTGAACCATGAAAAACAGCCGCAGACCATTATTCCTCCTCCACCAAACTTTACAGTTGGCACTATATATATTCGGGCAGGTAGCGTTCTCCTGGCGTTCTCACCATCTCTTGTCCTTTGGACTGCCAAATGGTGAAGGGTGATTAATCAATCCAGAGAACACGTTTCCACTGCTCCGGAGTCCAATGGCGGCGAGCTTTACACCACTCCAGCCGACGCTTTGCATTGCGCATGGTGATCTTAGGCTTGTGTGCGGCTGCTCAGCCATTTCATGAAGCTCCCGACGAACAGTTCTTGTGCTGACCTTGCTTCCAGAGGCAGTTTGGAACTCGGTAGTGAGTGTTGCAACCGAGGACAGACAATCTTTACATGCTTCAGCACTTGGCAGTCCCGTTCTGTGAGCTTGTGTGGCCTACCACTTCGCGGCTGAGCCGTTGTTGCTCCTAGACATTTCCACTTCACAATAACAGCACTTACAGTTGACCGGGGCTCTAGCAGGGCCGAAATTTGACAAACTGACTTTTTGGAAAGGTGACATTCTCTGACGGTGCCATGTTGAAAATCACTGAGCTCTTCTGTACGGGCCATTCTACTGCCAATGTTTGTCTATGGAGAATGCATGGCTGTTTGCTCGATTTGATACACCTGTCAGCAACGGGTGTGGCTGAAATAGCCAAATCTACTAATTTGAAGGGGTGTCCACATACCCTTGGCTATGTAGTGTAGCTCAACATAAATCATAAAACACAAATGATCAAAAATGGTCCCGACTAAGCTTCAGTAAATGGAATATAAAAAGGCTGAACCAACCTTTAAAGCGCAATTAGATTGTATTTCATCTAAGGAGGCTTGACTGTTATATCCTGATTTCCTCAATGTAGATTTTTTGAGAGGCAACAAGGAGGAGCAGGGGGCAGGACTAATGGATTCTGTACATTTACATTTTAGTCATTTAGCAGACACTCTTATCCAGAGTGTCTTATAGGAGCAATTAGGGTTGAGTGCCATGCTCAAGGGCACATTGATAGATTTTTCACCTAGTTGGCTCTGGGATTCAAACCAGCGACCTCTCGGTTACTGGCCCAACACTCATAACAACTAGGCTACCTGTACTGTATGATTAACAGGGATTTTATGAAGAGGTGGCCTCACCCCTATTGATGGACATGCAGATGGTGTACCTGAGTGGGGCTAACCTGACCCAGACCAACTTCAGCCAGTACTACAACGGCTCCAAGATCGTGGTGTCTGGCAAGATCACCGACAACAACATAGAGATGTTCACCGCAGAGGTCATAGCCATATCAAAAATAAATAGGGTGATGTACTCTGAGACAATACCAATGGAGGACCCCATTGAAGCCAGTTCTGACAGCCACATCCAGAGGCTGTACGACTACCTCACTGTAAAGCAGCTACTGGACAAAAAGGTGCAGTCGAGTGGGAAGGCGAAAGAGAAGGTGTAGAATGAGGCCCTGGATCTTTGTCGGAAGTGTGGCTTCGTGACTCATCTCACCTCCATGGTGGTCACCAAGCCCCAGGGAGAGGACTCACAGGTGGCCCACAAACCCAAGGAGGGGGAGAAGCCCTCAGGATCCAGGCAAGGCTTCTCCGGGTCAATCTTCCAGTTCATGAGCGGCCAACCCGGACTCCCCAGGCCCCCTGCACAGACAGTGCCAGATTATGGTGGACAAACTCAGACAATGGGAGGAGGAGGAGGAGGAGAAGGAGGAGTCGGCTTGATGCTTGATGCTGAGGAGGAGCATGAGTCATATCCTGCCTATAAAATAGTGAGACCTATCATGAGGTTCCTGTTGCCAGCTTGAAACTTAAGATTCAGGACAAAGAAGTAGCTGTCTCCAGGAGCTTTGCTGTGGATCTCAGTGTTCGCTCTGCCTCCACCGTGGCATGCTGGTTGCTGACTCTTCAGTCTGCCCTACAGGGGGAGCTAGTTGATTTCACCGTCACACAACTCTAAATGACCATGTATACTGAACAAAAATATAAACGCAACATGCAACAATTTCAACGATTTTACTGAGTTACAGTTCATATAAGGAAATCAGTCAATTGAAATAAATAAATTAGGCCCTAATCTATGGATTTCACATGGCTGTACAAGGGTGCAGCCATGGGTGGGCCAGAAAAGGATACATTTATTCAACAAGGAATTTGTAACAGGAGATGTTAGAAGTGTTATTATGTGAACTCATAGAACTCTATAAAGAAACCTCAGTCTTTATTGTTGCTCTTCTTAATTCTAGAACATAATTACTGAATGTATAGTGTTTATCAGTTGATGATGGGAGCAACTATACTGAACAAAAATATAAACACAACATGTAAAGTGTTGGTCCACAGCGGTTGCCAGAGAATTGAATGTTCAACATCGTTTTAGAGAATTTGGCAGTATGTCCACTTGGCCTCACAACCGCAGACCACTTGTAACCACGCCAGCCCAGGACCCCCACATCCGGCTTCTTCACCTGAGGGATTATCTGAGACCAGCCACCCGGACAGCTGAGGAAATTGTGGGTTTGCACAACCAAAGAATTTCCGCACAAACTGTCAGAAAGCGTTTCAGGGAAGCTCATCTGGGTGCTCGTTATCCTCACCAGGGTCTTGACCTGACTGCAGTTCGGCGTCGTAACCAACTTCAGTGGGCAAATGCTCACCTTCGATGGCCACTGGCATGCTGGAGAAGTGTGCTCTTCACAGATTGATCCCGGTTTCAACCATACCGGGCAGATGGCAGACAGCGTATATATGGCATCATGTGGGCGAGCGGTTAGCTGACGTCAACATTGTGAACAGAGCGCCCCATGGTGGCAGTGGGGTTAAGGTATGGGTAGGCATAAACTACGGACAACGAAAACAATAGCATTTTATCGATGGCAATTTGAATGCATAACGAGATCCTTATTGAGACTTTTACTTTTGATTCTTCAGTATATTTAAAACCAAAGACTTTTAGACTTTTACTCAAGGAGTATTTTACTGGGTGACTTTCACGTTTACTTCAGTCATTTTCTATTAAGATATCTTTACTTTTACTCAAGTATGATAATTGGGTACTTTTTCCACCACTGGCTATTGGTACTCTGTAATTACAAGTAAGTACCCCTCAAGATAAACGTAATTATATCTAGCCAAATCCTGTGTAACATCTAGTATTTACATTGTACTTATGTGAATATTACATGTACTCTATGGCGTACTAGTGTGTTTATTCTCCCACTTGGATGGCGCTTCCAGAAGCTATAAATTGAGGGCCAGGTTGTCAGGATGGGTAATGTACTGTATAAGTACACATTAATTACAAAATAAGTATCCCTCAAGATACACGTCATTTTAACTAGCTAAATCCTGTGTAACAACTAATAATTGCATTGTACGTAGGCAAACATTACATGTACTATGCTTTGAAATAGTGTCTTATTCCTCATCTGAGATGACACTCGTACTAGATCTGTTTTCGTAAGCTCAACCAAGTTAACCCAGATAGTATGCTTTATTTTTGGGGCAAGTACTAGCAACAATGTTGACTGGAGATATATTTTGAACAGTGCACTTTCATGGTTAAATAATTATAGCCTATGGCTATAATCGCTCAGACACCCAGCGCTTCCACAAGGGATCCCAACCTTTGTCACAGTTGTTAATGAATCGGATGCAGCTGAGAAGAAACAAAACAATTAGTTGGTGAATTTAGTGGAAACCTGCCCATTTGTAACAAGCATGGCAACAAGCATTCCTTGTTACACTTCTGTAATTACAGATCGAAATTACTACCAGTTACATGTTGTTATTAAACTGTAACTATGAGTTGTTATTTAACTACAATACTTGTTACAGTGTAATAAGGACGCATTAATAGGACGTTTTACAAAAAAAATTGATCTTAAGGGGGCTATCAGTGACAGAGTGGACAACAGATACTCAAAACAGAAAGATTTTCCCCTCTAAAAATAAATGTTAAATACAAACAATTCTAAAATATGGAAAATTATTCATTTGAAAATCCCCAATAAAAACATAATCATTTTATTAGAACTTTCAGCACTCTGATGGAGTTGACATTAAACAGAAGTTTGACAGAGTTTATGTTTTACAGTTAACAAAAATTTAATTGTTCTTCTTCATTCAAGTGGTATACACAGTAGCAATTCTAAAACCTAATTTTAAAAAAACATATTTGAACCAGAATTCATATTCTATCTTAATCTATTAGATAGATGGAGTTGACAGTTTATGGTTGTGACCATGGTTATTCCAATATTGTTTCTTTAAATCTATCAAAAGGAGAGAACTTTACAGATCATGAGTGGTCTTGTTGCACTACATGTTATGAGGACATGAAGAAGGGGTCCTTGTTGTATAGCTGACCCTGCTTATTCCTGATTAATTTATGATTTTAGACAAATCTGACGGAGTTCACCAAATCTCCTGACACATCTTTTAGGAATCACAGTTTTGAGAGAAATATTATTTAAAGTCACAGAGTGTCACGTACGTTGATGAACGGGTCAGACCAAGGCGCAGCGTGATATGCAAACATGTTTATTACACGAATAAACAATAAACTAACGACACGTGAAGTCCTAAGGTAACACAACAAACCTTATACAGAACAAGATCCCACAACCCACTAGGCTGCCTAAGTATGGTCCCCAATCAGAGACAACAAGCAACAGCTGCCTCTGATTTGGAACCACACCGGCCAACATAGATCTAGACATACATTACATTTTAGTCATTTAGCAGACGCTCTTATCCAGAGCGACTTACAGTTAGTGAATACATATATTTTTTTTTATACTGGCCCCCCCCTGGGAAACGAACCCACAACCCTGGCGTTGCAAACGCCATGCTCTATCAACTGAGCTACATCCCTGCCGGCCATTCCCTCCCCTACCCTGGACGACGCTGGGCCAATTGTGCGCCCCCCATGAGTCTCCCGGTCGGCTGCGACAGAGCCTGGATTCGAACCAGGATCTCTAGTGGCATAGTTAGCACTGCGATGCAGTGCCTTAGACCACTGTGCCACTCAGGAGTTAAAACATATAACATAGACCTACACCACATAGAAAATACACACCCTGACTCAACAAATAAGACTCCCCAGAGTCAGGGCGTGACACAGAGGGCTATGCAAGAAACTACATAAGATTATTTTTCAGTTAATATCCATTGTTGCCGTTTTTAGAATTGTAAACACTTTTTTGGAGAGTTTGAAATTGGGTCCTTTGCTCCGGACAAGGGCATTTCCAGGCATGGAAATGAATAATGAAAGTATTTAGAAAATTCCAAAAACAAATATTTTCCCTTATAAAATACCCCTATATTTGCTTTTTAAGTTCAAATAATGAAAAAATATATATTTTTACCATAACAATAAAGTTTCCCTGCCAGACAAGGATTGTCCTGACATTCAAGAATCCCTGATTAATGTTGAGGAGTACTTTATACTTCATCTATTTGTAACAGAGCAATATTCCCCAGCCACATAATAGCCTGCAGACCCATTATGACATGCACCAACCTCATAAAGACCACTTTTTGAGAACTTTTGAAGTGTTATCATGAAATTGGTGTTGTTTATTTAATTTAATTTATTTTAATTTAACTTATATAAAAAATGTTGGGTGATTAGTTTGATATGTTGTTTCTGGTTGCTGAATTGGTTTTTCCTTATATATGCAGGCTACACAATGAGCAAAAAATAACAGTCGCCCCATTCACAGAACCATTTCTATATGTAACAGGGTTATATTGGTGATTCCCCTTGCCACATTATTGTTAAGCCAATGGGTTTTTGGTTTTGTCTTGCCTTCACCTACTCAACATGGCATCTTATTGGCTGGTTGGCGTAGCTTGCTTACGAGGGAGGATGTTTCAGTTAGAATCGTCCCAGTGAACAAGCACCAAACCAGCGGTAAGTTGTTGGTTGCAAAGCACTGTATGTCAAAAGTGATTTTTATACTCCCAAGTGATGATGTAAATGTATAATTTATATCAATTTGTTTGTAAATGTTATTCGAACATCACACATAAGATGCAGTGTTTTTTGGTGAATATTTGTTGTAGAGAATTCCAGCTAATACTAGCTAGCAACTTACTGTGTCTGGTGGGGGGTTTGTATATTTTGTACAGTGCAATTTTGTGCTGTTCCTATCAGGTACATTGTTAAAGATATTATATTGTAATTGTATTATTTTGGTAACTACATGCCCCAGTGAACAAGCACCAAACCAGCGTGCGTGAGTGCAGAGTTGGATGGTGAGCCGTGCATTGCATGACTTGCAATTTTGTGCTGTTCCTATCAGAATAAAGCTCCATGACTGGTGTTACAAGATGGAGTTCGTGTTGATGATTGATTGTACACAACGCAAGAAGAGTACTGTTGCATATAGGCACATTCAAAGTGACGGTTGGGAGGGTTGTAGTAAGCTGCATGATTGTCCTCAATAAAACCCCACCTGATTAGGCTATAATTGTGTCCTCTGTTGAGTAATGGCAGGTTGGTGCATCAACCATTAACCATTCATGGTTGGCTTTAATTTGTTTGAGGCCCGCCAGAAAAACAGTTTTACCTTTCTGTTTGTTTTGTTGCATAAAAGGAGACTAGTTTGTCTAGTCAATCATTTGCATGTGTTTGTACAGCAGCAAGTAGTGAAGAAACTGTGTTCTAAAGTGTCCGCATACATGTACATACCTACAGTGTGTATATCAGCTGAGTTAGCTTTGTAGAGTGTTTAACGCCAGAACTCATATCAGTCCTCCACACCCATGTCATCACCCTCCATTGTGCAAGATAAATGAAAGTAGTCCACAGAGAGGCTATGGTGGGGAAGTACACTGTGTAAGAGACATGGGATTTTATGAGTGTAGGTCATGCTTCACAAAGTTAGCACGACCCGGAGCTATGGAAATAAATTACTTATTTACATAGCCTCTAACTGTATGGCTCTGACATGAAATACAAAGATAGCATGGGCATAGCCTAGTGAGCAAAAGACAACACCCAAAAGACAATAAAAAAGCTCACAGCATTAGGCCTAGTTTAGTACCGTTCTTGTAAGACTATCTATTTGTTTTAAAAATACTTATACATTCCTTTTTTACATAGCCTTTATGCCTTTGACATGGATAACATAGAAGCTTGTTGTAATTTCAGGGAAAAGGTTAATAGCTTGTTATTTTAGGCCTAGGCAGCTAGGCTTTATTTATTTATTGAAAAGTGTGACGACAATACAACTCCTGATTGTCGTGGAGCTTTATTTGGGTGCAATGAGGCTGGACGCAAGGCTACCATGGAGGATAGGTGTAGGCCTCCATTGTCATTGTCATTGCACATTGGGACATGGGAAATGGGAAGATGGCGGAAGCGGATGATGAAGTGGAATCTGAGTACAATGGCGGTAGAATCAAGGAGAATTGGAGTATTGTTCAAAAGAATGGAAAACGGAGCAAAGTAGGGTACAGTGATGAGAATGACCCTTCGTATCTAGTAGGAGTACAGTTTGTTAATAAGGAGCAGCCGAGCAGAGTACCAATCTTGAAGAAACCATTTGAGTTATCCAAACTGGTGGAGAGAGTGCTGGGTAAAGTGAAGATGTGAGGATCACGAGAGTCGGGCTTATTTAGATTTTTTGTGATTCTGTGGAACAGAAGGAACGTGTGTTGTGTATTAATCGATTTCATAAGTTTGAAGTGTTGTGTGTGTCTCTTCGGAACAGGGCACCCCTCAAGAGGGTTATATCTGGCGTTTCGTGGGAAGTTGATTTGGAAGAGAAGAAAAATATTCCTGGAGAACCAAAAGAAGGAAGAAGTGGGAGTTTTGTTTGTTTAGGCAATGTACTATTTTTATTAGTGTGGATTGTTAGAATCACTATTAAGTATGGATTTATTTATGTACTTTATTTTTGGTTTCAAACAGTCAAGCTGGTGGTGGCAATACAACTTTTGGATGTAGTCCACCATAAAACAAACAGAAGAAGATAGAACTCCCACAATGCAGTGCGTTTTCAAAATGTCGCCCTCCTTCGTGATCTGACTTCTGTGCCATCAGACAACAACAAACCATAGCTTCATTTAGCAAATCTGACAGTCTACATGAAGACTTTTATTTAATGAAGCATGAGACTGCTGATTACAGCTGCCAGACGAATTCATAAACGGCCTCTGTGCAGTTCCACATCATGTATAAGTTCGGCAGCGAGTTGCTCCGGAGCTGCTACGAAGAGCGGCCTGCAGTTCAGAGATGACCAGCTAATCTGCGGTTCGACCCGGGAGTTGGTCCAGAGGCTTCGCGGACAGGTGGACGTGAGGATGGAATTCATAAGTGAGGAAGAGGAGGGTGCTCTCATTAAAGAACTCGAGCCTGGGCTGAGGAAGAAAATATATGAGTTCGACCACTGGGACGATGTAAGTTGTAAATTGACCTTGCTTGTTGACTACAAAGTGCCTAGATAAAGGATGTGGCTAAAGCTGCTGCACGTCCTCCGCTCCAACCTACACTCAGAGGGGCTGCTTCAGTATGCAAGGAGGAACTCTTTTGGTTAATTTCCCTATTGGCATCATGCAAATGCTTTGTAGTCTTATATTTCACTTACAAACATGTATAGAAAACAGTTCGCAGCAATAACAACAATATCCATATTCTACTAGATGCTGTAAAGTTTCATATTTGGATTGAGTTAGGCTATTAATCATCGTCATCATGCATTAAAAGTTTAATAGATCTTCATTTAGATAGAGAAATCAGGGCCCGGTTTCCCAATAGCGATGCAATTTAGGCTTATGCGTGTTTTAACGATGCATCGGCCGAAGATGTAACATGCGTTTCCCAAAACACCACGCAGAAAGAACGTTTGCCAAGTGCATCGTTGGATCGTTTATTGATACTGATAGGTATGAGAGAAAAAAGTTAGCTGTACTCTCAGATCAGCTTTCTCCATTTAAATCTCACCTTCACTTTAGAATTATTCCACAATAATAGCTCCAGAGAGATATTAGCTCCAGAGAGATATTATCACCTAGGTCTATATGACTGCAATTATTGAGGCTGCTTATTGTAATACTTACCCAATAGTTATGCACTAAATCACAGATTTGGCACAATATTGCACACGTTACACATCATGAAATACACTGAACAAAAATATAAACGCAACATGTAAAGTGTTGGTCCCATGTTTCATGAGCTGAAATACAAAATCCCAGACATTTTCCATACGCACAAAAAGCTTATCTCTCTCAAATGTTGTGCACAAATTTGTTTACATCCCTGTTAGTGAGCATTTCTTCTATGCCAAGAGAATCCATCCACCTGACAGGTGTTGCATATCAATAAGCTGATTAAACAGCATGATCATTACACAGGTGCACCTTGTGCTAGGTACAATAAAAGGCCACTCTAAGGTGGTGAGGAGTATTTCTGTCTGTAATAAAGTCCTTTTGTGGAGAAAAAACTCATTCTGATTGGCAGGGCCTGGCTCTCCAGTGGGTGAGCCTGGCTGCCAAGTAGGTGGGCCTATGCCCTCCAAGGCCCACCCATGGCTGCACCCCTGCCCAGTCATGTGAAATCCATAGATTAGGGCCTAATTTATTTATTTCAATTGACTGTTTTCCTTATATGAACTGTAAATCTTTGAAATTGTTGCATGTTGTGTTTTATATTTGTGTTCAGTGGAGAGAGCGTAGAAGTGAGAAGGAATAGATCAGCTAGCTGCAGGCAAGAGTGTGAGGCAAAAATAACAGAAAGTGTAGCCTACAATTAGCAAAATAGAACTCAATTTACTGAACATGAAATAGATTTCAACATGATTGAAATATATGGGCCTATGTCAGTGGTGGTTGGTGCCGTTTAAGATGAGGGAGGAAGATTATTTTTATGATGAGCATGGCCTTATTTATATTACAGCATATTAGATGACTGTCATTCATATTTCATTTACCCAGCTCAATGTAACATCGATAGGTTTAGGCTACTACATGATACTACTTCATGATTTTCCCTATACCCATCATAAGGTTGCTACAATCTAGCCTATGAATGAAAGTTTACAACGTAGGTGCACTGCTCGAGAGAAAATAGAGTAATCAAGGTGACAGACAATGACACATTCAATACCGCCTTGTACACTCTTGCCTGCAGCTAGCTGATCTATTCCTTCTAACTTCTACGCTCTCTCCTCCTCTCATCTTTTCCCTTTGCTTGTAGACTTCAGTGCACAACAAATCAGTTGTCTGTGACCAGGCGAAAATACCTTTCCAAGCCAAACCTTCATATCATAACCGCTAACCGCTACACTCAGCCTACATCGTTGTCACCATATTAGCTAACGTCATAGTCAACAAAGCTACTAGAACTAACGCGTTAGTAAACCCATTACAATCATGCAGTACTGTGTACAGTCAATAAATTAATAAAACCAAAAGCTTACCTTGACTTTGAAGAGTTCCAGTGTTGGATAGCCATAGCCAGCTAGCTAAGTAGCATCCCTCTCTGTCTGAGCTGGGTGTTTTGAGTAGGCAGCTAAGTGAAAGTGAAGAGCAAAGCCTATTCATGGTTACCGGGAGACCGAGTATGCTCGGTGGGGAGCTGTGTGTGAGGGGGGAATGGATCGCCTCCGAGCTGTGGCTTTCTCTGAGGGCAGCCCTCTCCTAGGCCCTGTGCATATCCTGGACCTGGACAAGGCTGGATACATCAAACCACACATCGACAGTGTCAAGGTAGGTAGACGGCTCTCATATTAACCTGAAATGCATGATAAATATGGAACATGGTGTTCTGTGTGCTAGAATTTTGCCCTGACATGATTATTGAGTGGGCACAATGTGAATACTTTTTGGGCAAAAGTGTTGTTTCTTTTACAATGCTGTTTGGAACTCTGTCATTCTCTCGTCCCACCTCACCCCTTTTTGTTTGTCTTTCATCCTGCCTCTCTCTCTCCCTTTCTCTTTCACTGTCTCCCTGCCCCCTTCTATCCCTTCCTCTCCTCTCTCTCTCTGTCAGTTCTGTGGCAGCTCTATAGCAGGGCTGAGTTTGTTGTCAGACAGTGTGATGCGCTTGGTGAGGGAGGATGAACCCGCTGAATGGCTGGACTTGTTTCTGCCGCATCGCTCTCTCTACATACTCAGGTACGGACCCAAGAAAACCTGCCATAGAAACATGCTGTCTTTCATTGTTTACAAATGACCACCTGCGCATACACTGTAATCAGAGTCTACCTGGTAGGCCTAGTAGTAGGTTTTAACTACCCAAAATGATTCTATGGATTTATATGACCAGGGAAAAGAGCAACTGAGTAAATACCGTAATGAGAGTCTGCACTAAACTCACAGTATCTCCTGTGGAGAACAAGGACATGAAGTGGTTTACAATGTACTTAATTGTTCTCTGTTACCTCCATGTCTGTATACTCTGACTGAACCCCTCCTATAGCCTATAACTATCCTTATGAAGGCCCAGAGGTCAACCTGGTCAGATGACCTGGGGTCGTATGCATCAACTATCAAGCATCTCAGAGTGGAAGTGCTAATCTAGGATCAGGTCCTCCCCTGTCCGTGTTGAGGTTAATTCCACAAAACTATGAAATAACACATATGGAATCATGTAGTAACCAAAAAATGATAAACAAATCTAAATATATTTTATTTGAGATTCTTCAAATAGCCACCCTTTGCCTTGATGACAGCATTGCACACTCTTGGCATTCTCTCAACCAGCTTCATGAGGGGGTCACCTGGAATGCATTTCAATTAACAAGTGTGCCTTCTTAAAAGTTAATTTGGGGGGGGCATACATAAGATAGCCCTATTTGGTAAAATACCATGTCCATATTATGGCAAGAACAAATTTCAAGAACATTGAACATTTCTTCAAGTACAGTCGCAAAAACCATCAAGCGCTATGATGAAACTGTCTCATGAGGACCGCCATAGGAAAGGAAGACCCAGAGTTACCTCTGCTGCAGAGGATAAGTAAATTTGAGTTAGCAGCCTCAGAAATTGCAGCCCTAATAAATGCTTCACAGAGTTCAAGTAACAGACACATCTCAACATCAACTGTTCAGAGGGGACTGTGTGAATCAGGCTTTCATGGTCGAATTGCTGCAAAGAAACCACTACTAAAGGACACCAATAATAAGAAGAGACCTGCTTGGGCTAAGAAACATGAGCAATGGACATTAGACCGGTGGAAATCTGTCCTTTGGTCTGGAGTCCAAGTTTGAGATTTTTGGTTCCAACCGCCGTGTCTTTGTGAGACGTGGTGTGGGTGAACGGATGATCTCCACATGTGTAGTTTCCACCGTAAAGCATGGAGGAGGAGGTGTTAAGGTATGGGGGTGCTTTGCTGGTGAGACTGTCAGTGATTTAATTTAGAATTCAAGGCACACTTAACCAGCATGGCTACCACAGCATTCTGCAGCGATACGCCATCCCATCTGGTTTGGGCTTTGTGGGACTATAATTTGTTTTTCAACAGGACAATGACCCAACACACCTCCAGGCTGTGTAAGGAGAGTGATGGTGTGCTGCATCAGATGATCTGGCCTCCACAATGCCAAGAGTGTGCAAAGCTGTCATCAAGGCAAAGGGTGGCTATTTGAAGAATCTTTTTCGGTTACTACATGATTCCATATGTGTTATTTCATAGTTTTGATGTCTTAACTAATATTCTACAATGTAAAAATAAAGAAAAACCCTTGAATGAGTAGGTGTGTCCAAACTTTTGACTGGTACTGTATATATATATATATATATATATAACATGAAATATAGCTAGCTCTCTCTCTCGCTTTTCCTTAATTTAGGAAGAAATGAATTTGTTTAAAACTGTACAACTGTTGTCTTTCTCTCTGAGTCAACTACTCACCACATTTTATGCAGTGCTAGCTAGCTGTAGCTTATGCTTTCAGTACTAGATTCATTCTCTGATCCTTTGATTGGGTAAACAACATGTCAGTTCATGCTGCAAGAGCTCTGATAGGTTGGAGGACGTCCTCCGGAAGTTGTAATAATTACTGTGTAAGTCTATGGAACGGGGTGAGAACCATGATCCTCCTAGATTTTGTATTGAAGTCAATGTACCCAGAAGAGGACAGAAGCTAGCTGTTCTCCGGCTACACCATGGTGGTACCCTACATTTTTCTGAAATTCACTGAGGATGGTCCTCCCCTTCCTCCTCTGAGGACCCTCCACTGCACCTCAGCCACAGTGGTCAGAGTTAACAGACGTGAACGCAGCAAACTTGAATCACATGTAGTTTCCTCCCTCTAAAGCCCTCAAACTCAACTCTGGACCTCGAAGCCAGTTCCACTAGTTTTTCATTGTTCCCCTCTAAATCAGGGATTGATATAGACCTGTCACACCAGGTTGGTGCAATTAATTATCAGGTTAGAACAGAAAACCAGCAGGCTCCGGACCTCATAGGGTAAGAGTTGAATTCCCCTGCTCTAAAGTTTCAACTTAATGGTTTACACCTCAGCGACTTTTCTTACATTTCCACCTTCATTCCCTTACACCACATTCACAACCAGCAACGTCCACCAGTCACACACATACCAGTACATACAGTGCCATCGGAAAGTATTCATACCCCTTGACTTTTTCCACATTTTGTTAAGTTACAGCCTTATTCTAAAATTGATTAAATAAATAAAAATCCTGAGCAATCTACACACAATACCCCATAATGACAAAGCGAAAACAGGTTTTTAGCCATTTTTACTAATGTATTAAAAATTAAAAACACATACCTTATTTACATAAGTATTCAGACCCTTTGCTATGAGATTCGAAATTGAGCTCAGGTGCATCCTGTTTCCATTGATCATCCTTGAGCTGTTTCTACAACTTGATTGGAGTCCACCTGTGGTAAATTCAATTGATTGGGCATATTTGGAAAGGCACACCTGTCTATATGAGGTCCCACAGTTGACAGTGCATGTCAGAGCAAAAACCAAGCCATGAGGTCGAAAGAATTGTCCGTAGAGCTCCAAGACAGGATTGTGTCGAGGCACAGATCTGGGGAAGGGTACCAAAGAATTTCTGCAGCATTGAAGGTCCCCAAGAACACAGTGGCATTCAATTCTGCAGTATTTCAATTCCCTCTCCCTGTATATTCCATTAATTTCATTTCAAATTCCAGGTCAGTCTTTGAATTGAGATAATTCAATTCCTCATGATCATGTCACTGTTCAGACAGCTTAGCTATACTGGAAGTTTAAATGATATATTTTTTTAAAAGCAGGCCATTTATTTATACTAAGTACATGAATTCCATTAAGTGGGAATTATACAAATATTGAATTCTAATTAAATTCCAAAGATTACTTTTTTTCACAATTCCAATTCAAACAGTCTAATTCCAATTTAATTCCAATTCCATAACTTGGTTGTTGACATTCGAATTGAATTCAACATACAGTAAATCCTCCACTTCATGAGTGAATTGACCAACACTGGTCCATGTATTCATATTCATGTTGATCTAAAAGGCTAAACTGATCCTAAATCGGCACTCATACTCTGAAACACTTGATACAACTCCTGGCATTTCACACATTGTGCTTGTGTGGTGAATGACTGATGGAATTGTTTTCCTGCATCCTTCCACCCATGAGATCCTTAAAGATGCCGAGTCCATTTTTTCTATTGGTCACATACACATGGTTAGCAGATGTTATTGCGAGTGTAGCGAAATGCTTGTGCTTCTAGTTCCGACAGTGCAGTAATATCTAGCAAGTAATATCTAACAGTTCCACAACAAATATCTAATACACACAAATTTAAGTAAAGGAATGGAGTAAGAATATATAAATATATTGATGAGCAATGTCATTGTCAGAGCGGCATAGGCTAAGATGCAATAAATAGTATAGAATACAGTATATACATATGAGATGGGTAATGCAAGATATGTAAACATTATTACGATAGTATAGAATACAGTATATACATATGAGACGAGTAATGCAAGATATATAAACATTATTAAAATGGCATTATTAAAGTGACTAGTGTTCCATTTATTAAAGTTGCCAGAGATTTTCAGGTCTGTATGTAGGCAGCAGCGCCTCTGTGCTAGTGACAGCCTACGAATAAAAGTTTACAATGTAGGTGCACAGGTCGAGAGAAATTAGAGTATGTGACAGACAATGACACATTCAATACCACCTTGCACACTCTTGCCTCATCTAGCTGATCTAGGTTGTAATCATTAGTCAGTTGCAAACAAGAGTTTCTATTGGACAAATTCAGGTATGTTTATCCCCGTTTCGTTCCATTTGCTTCCGTTTAAGAAACTTTTTTCAACAGAATCGACGGAATGAATACACCCCTGATCACATGCAAACACAGAACTAGCAGCCACATATAAACTGCATCTCCTCCTCACCTTTTCCCTTCGCTTGTGGACTTCAGTGCACAATATTGCCTACAACAGCTGTCTGACCAGGTGAAAAAATATTTCCAAGCCAAACTTTCATACCATAACTACTACACACAGCCTACATCCTTTTCACCATATTATCATAGTCAACATACAGTGGGGGGAAAAAGTATTTAGTCAGCCACCAATTGTGCAAGTTCTCCCACTTAAAAAGATGAGAGAGGCCTGTAATTTTCATCATAGGTACACGTCAACTATGACAGACAAATTGAGAAGAAAAAAATCCAGAAAATCACATTGTAGGATTTTTAATGAATTTATTTGCAAATTATGGTGGAAAATAAGTATTTGGTCACCTACAAACAAGCAAGATTTCTGGCTCTCACAGACCTGTAACTTCTTCTTTAAGAGGCTCCTCTGTCCTCCACTCGTTACCTGTATTAATGGCACCTATTTGAACTTGTTATCAGTATAAAAGACACCTGTCCACAACCTCAAACAGTCACACTCCAAACTCCACTATGGCCAAGACCAAAGAGCTGTCAAAGGACACCAGAAACAAAATTGTAGACCTGCACCAGGCTGGGAAGACTGAATCTGCAATAGGTAAGCAGCTTGGTTTGAAGAAATCAACTGTGGGAGCAATTATTAGGAAATGGAAGACATACAAGACCACTGATAATCTCCCTCGATCTGGGGCTCCACGCAAGATCTCACCCCGTGGGGTCAAAATGATCACAAGA